TTTATTTTATTATTATTATTTATTTTTTTGGCCATCCTTAATTAGTATTGAATTCAACTATATGCTTGTAACACAATTGTTACGTGTTGACACACTTGATCGACCCACTGGAGCCAATGACTCACTCATGCTGAACCACATGACATTCCGGCCGAGGCCCCTAGGTCAATAGAAGTCAACCAACATACAAAAGCAACACCCATAACATGACTCAAATGTTGACGTCGAAGTGTGTAGGCCGAGGTGGTTTGTCTTGCCCAGGCCCTTCACGTCGAGGCCCATCATACCAAGGTCCAGACGCCCTAAGCAGCACTCCTCTCTAGAGATTTAGTCTTACACAATAATTCTTCCTAATTGATTGATGGGATACCCATCATAGAGTGTAAATGTTTTGTCTTATCAAAGTAGCGGCAGCTCTGCCAATTAATAAATGCATAGCAGGTTAAGAAGTCAAATGTGATGTCTATAATTTGACATGTAAACTTGTGAGATGAGGCGGCATGTATAATATAAATACTCCCACATACATCTCTCACAAGGATAATGTAAGATTCAATAGAAGAACCAAGATTACACATTTTTTACTCTCTTAATACAATCTCTTTACCATCTTGCAATACAATACAACACGAATTCAAACGCACATTCTATGAACATCAATTGGTAATTATTGTATGATCATTATGCAAACATCTCGTCGAATTTCGAACGTTCTCATCCCACGCTTTTGAGCCGTTCCCACACCCTTGATCTGTCTATTTTAGATCCTCCACGTGTCTTAGCGTGCTAAACTAGGTTTGCGTGTGTGCGGGTGGGTCCGGTATCTGTTAACAATATTTTTTGGAGTCAATAACAATAATTTTCCTTCAAAAATCGCAAGAGCGACACTTAAAGTGTTCAAAGGAGGGCCGGCTACTGGAAACCCACTGGATGCTTATTTCACTCCAGTGTATAATATGATAGGAGATATTATAGCGAACAGAAATGCTTCAACTTTTATCAAATATAATGAGCGCCATAGTCGAAAACGTTCGTTCCACCTTCCAAAACCATGAAGAAGAAGGTAAAAATGGCAACAACCTTAACCCACAAAATTCGTAACATATGACCTTTCTCGTGATTTGGTTGAATCTTCTAACAAAGAACGAGCCTTGTGTGCAGGTGCCACAGTCGAAAACCTTACTTCGACCTTCCAAAACCACGAAGAAGAAGATGAGTTTGAACCCGAAAGCTAAAAGACAAATATATAAGGATGACTATGGAGTGGACGTTGATGAGAATTCCGACTAGTCAACATTTTGTATTTCATCCTATACGTAATACATAATTCTTTCATTATGTCAATTACAAAAATGTTGCAGTGCGTTGATAAATATGACATTTGATTAGGTGATATATGGTTGGATTATAGGTACTTTAGGATTAATATTTTTACAAAACCTTAGTGGTATATATTTATATTCAATTAAACGAATTAGTTGGTAAAAATTGAAAATCTTTCATTTCAAGAATTAAGGCTCGAAAACATAAATGGGCGAAAAAGGGAAAAAGAATTTAGGGTCCGATTTATATGGATTAATCTGCTCATACATTGCATCAAATTCTGTTTCTCTTACATTATAAAAAAAGAAAGAGAAATTGGATGAAGAAGAAGTGAGAGGAAAATGTTATAACAACTATTTTAATAAAATTTTGCCTGTTTTTAATTTTTATATAGAAAACAGGGAGATTGACAAAAAGGAAAACAAGGGAGAAAGAAAAGGAAATTGGAACAAATATGAAAAGTAAGCCTTTGTATATTTGATCGAGTTTATGGTTGAAAAGTTGTGGATTCCATATGAATTAATCCGCCGAATTCCATCTTGTTGACATGCTAAAAGTGCAACCCAATTCGAATAGCCCAAAGAATGAAGCCCAACTCAACAATTCAGGATGAAAACCCAAATAGGGTTATTAATGAATGCAGTGGAAGCCCACGAACGCAATAACACCATCGTCCAAACTTACAATACGCCCAAGATCTGAGCGAATGAAGTGTCTTGCAGTCGCCCAGAGTTATAACCCCGTTCTTGCCCAAACCTTCGAATCGCCCAGGATCTTAGCAAACACAAGGTATTATGGTTATCCAAAAGTACATTTATCGAAGCAGTTATTGGGTAATCTTATCAC